CCAGGCTGGGGGACTTGCATCCCAGGCCAAGGTGTTCTAAGGTAGGGTTGTCCCCACCAACCCCATTTCCCAGAGAAGACCACTAAAGGCAGAGAGGTGAGAATGGGAGAATTTGGAAGAGACCAAGGCCCAGGCATGGTGTAGCTCAGCCAAGGGGGTCCTTCTTCCAACACTCTGTGCTTCCTGTGCTTCCTGCTCTGCCCTCAGCCAAGCGACAGCAAGCACATTTGAAAGAGCCCCTACTGGAGATCTGAAAGAAATGAGTCAGGACCTAACAGAAATCAGGCAACACAAAGAATGAGATTGCTAGTTAGGAATATGGCCTCAGCCGCTGAGCTGCCTGGTTCTGAATCCCAGCGGTGCTTAGCACCCTTAGGCAAGTGGCCTAACCTCTCTGAATCCGATTCTGCACTGTGAAATAGGAAGAACAACCATACCTAATTTCATGGAGGTGGTTATGCCCAATGAGTTAAGTGTAGAGCACTTGGTGCAATGCCAGGGCCCATAGCAAGCACTCAACTAAATGTTGGCTGTTAATATTGCAACCAACTTCACGTCCCAGCCATGTCCCTTGCAGAACCTGATTGTCTCCCAGAGTCGGCAGGGTGTGATGGTGAAGGAAAATGCAGGAATTACGTTTTCCTTTTATCCTGATCCTAGGATAAGAAAGGAAGGTGCTCGCCATGGCTGGGCACGCTCTGGATGAACTGAGAGGCCCTCTCTGGATTCAGCCTCCTCATAGCCCTGTCTCCTTCCTCTTTTCTTGGAGATAAAAGCCCTGGAGAGGTCAGCAGTTTGGCCTGGTGGGGAAGCCACAGCACCACACCCAGGTCTGCTAGGGCCCTCAGAGGGCTTGTTCCTGGGGATGGAGCTGTGTAGTGATTTGCTCTCTCTCTCTCTTTCTGGAATCACTATCCAACTCTAACTTTTGGTTTCTGGCAAATGACTTCCCCTCCCTGAGGCTCAATTTTCTCGGTCATAAAACGAGGGGCATTTGTAGCAGCGTGGGTTAAGTACGCTCCCGGCTGTGACAAGCAGCCCCTCACCTCAGTGGCTTGGCACACTGCTTCCTTGCTCACAGCGCGGTGCATTGTGGGCTGGTGGGGTGGGGAGCTCCACACAGTCATTCAAGGAGTGACTTGTCTCTGCTCAGGGTCCTCCCCGTGTGGCACCTGAGCAGCTGGCCAGCTGGTGAGGAAAAAGTCACAAGCCTTGCTTGCATTCACATTCCATGGCAAGAGCTAGTCACAGGGCCCCACCTCGGTGCCAGGGACATGGAAACCGTGGCCCAGCCAGGTGCCAGAGAGAAGCTACCCCAGTCCCTGGTGACCACCGAGCCATGTCTTCCATAGGGGATGGGCTGGGTCCCTGCCAGCAGTAGTCAGGGCTCCTGGGCCCCTCCCCTGTCTGCAGCCTGGCCCTCCCTCCCTGAGTTCTGCTCCTCCTCCCTCCCACCCAGGCAGGGAACAGGTCCCTGCCAAGCCTCCTCTGAGGGCGGGTGGTGGTGAGATAATGATCTTCCCATGCTTGTTGCCTCTTGGAAGGCAGGTGCTGGAGGGAAACCAAGTCCGCTTGCATTTTTCTCCCTGTTCCCTTCACATTCCTTCCCAGGATAAATTTAGCCAGCCCTCGCTTTGAACAGCAGTGCCCAGGATGCCGGCTTCTCGTTCTCCAAGTTGATGTCAGAGCATCTTTCATGGTTGAAGTCTTAGGCCGGGAATGAAGACTGCAGGACCCATAGTCCCCACCTCTGCCCTGGCCCGAGCCTCTGCCTCAGGCCAACCCTGGCTCAGTCCCCACCAGGCATCAGCTGCCGCAGCTCAGAGGCGGGGCCTGGGCTTCTCCCCGCCTGGGAAACAGACCCAGAGTTTGGGAGGGCTTTGAGAGCTTCACAAGGGCTGCTTCTCCTTAGCAGCCCCGGTGGGCAAGGTGGCTCAGCGGGGGCAACAGGGACTGTGGCGTCTCCGGTGTGGGTGCGAATCCTGCCTAGTTACCTTCTCATCTGCCTGCTTGTCTGTATAATGGGTCCACAGCAGTGCATCCTTCATGAGATTCACTGGGGTGCTTATAGTATGAGGTTTGCATGTTTCTGGGGCTTTACAAATGGTGAGTGACAAGCTATCCTTAGCCTCAGATCTGTCTGAAAGCCTCAGGGAGGACTTTCTGGAAGCTTCTAGCCATTCCAGGTACTTCTGTTTCCAATCTCCTGGACGCCTACTTGGAGGTGAGGTTCTTGCGCAGCATCATCTTTCTGGAAACACCCCTGTTGGTGTCCGTCCTCTTATCCTCAGGCAGCTGTAACTTGAATTCGCTCTCATTGTCTTTTCTTTTTTTTTTAAGATTTATTTTATTTATTTGAAAGACAGAGTTACAGAGAGAGGTAGAGACAGAGAGAGGTCTTCCATCCACTGATTCACTCCCCAGATGGCTGTAACAACTGGAGCTGCGCCGATCCGAAGCCAGGAGCCAGGAGCTTCTTCTGGGTCTCCCACGTGGGTGCAGGGGCCTAAGAACTTGGGCCCTAGCAAAGTCGCTCTCATTGTCTTGATCCGTGAAACTCTCTCTGGCCACCTCCCACACCATAGCTGGTTTTTCCCACTTTCCCTGACCTCCAAGCCTTTCTTCTCCAGCTAAGGGGCTGTACTTCCTCCCACCTCCTTGCTGTGGCCCTACTGATGGTTACGGCAGGTCTTATTCTCTGGAGAAGATCCTCTCGCCTAAGCCTGCTTTTCCCTTCCACTGCAGAGCCTACGTGAAACACCTTATGGGGTCAAGCTGCCCCCGACACACTTTTCTGGCACAGTTTTCAGCCTCACAAGGGCAACAGGTGCCTCACCAAGGCCTCATGTCTCTGGCCATGCTCAGGCACAGCAGAGACAGAAAATATGGCCCCAGTTCTCCTGCACTCATTCCTCCATGGCCCAGACGCAGCTCTCCAAGCCTGAGCTACCTCCTCTGCAGAATGGGGGTGATGGGGTGCGGTGGGAGCAAGAGGTGTCCTGGGAGGAAAGAGTGGACAGGCTCAAGAGGAGCGATTGCATGGAGGGACTCTTCGAAAAGGCCAGTGAAGGAGCCTAGCACTGGAGACACTGGAATCGGCTCCCACTGAGGCTGGCGCGGCACGCAGAGGGAGCAGGTCCCGGAACCTGGAGGGAGCCGAGGCTCAGGACAGGAGCTGCCCCACAGGTTCTTGGCCTTAGTGGTGATGGAGGTGGGATCAAGCCCCTGTCAGAGGCCTGGGAGACTAAGCACCTTGCCCTTTCCTGCCTCCCACCCTCTGATGCCCTGTTGCCCTTGCCACTGGCTAAACCTAGGAGCTGCTGGAAGCAGTGCCCAGGGCCCAGAGCTGGGCAGAGTATGGACAGCACATGCATGCTTAGGAGCAGACAGAGTCTAACACAGGGACCCCACAATGGTGCCTGCATGGAAGGCTTGGTCTCTGTCTACCCACATTCCCAGCAAACCTGCCAGGTGTCCCTAGCATACCCATTGGTATAAATAAGGACACTGACACCCCAAGGGCTAAGCAACATAAAAGACCCCTGGAAAGTGGTGGAGACAGGATTTAGACTGGTTTCTTTCTGGCTGCAAAGATTTCTGCATGGCAGCCAGAGCAGACGGCGGCCTGTGTTTCCTGGTGTAAGGTGACGCTTCCCCATCACAGGTTCACGCCTCCCACATCTGTAGCCCCTACGTTATTGATTTGCTTGGGCTGTGAGTTCCTTCTCACTGCTGTGCAGTGCGCAAAGCAAGTGCCCTGGGGAGGGACGTCACAGCCCTCCACAGAGGGGAGGAGTATCTGCAGCCCCTTTTCCTGCTGGGAGAGGCTTGGGAATCTGCAGGGATCGGGAGCCCGCAAGGGGAGCAGCCAGGACCCCATCAGTGTCAACCCCACACACTCACAGGAAAAGTCAGGGTGTTCAGTCTGCTGGGCCTCTGACTCGGCTCACGTACTCCTCACCACATTCCAAAGACAATGGCATGAGGAACCCATCCTCCAGCTGTGGAGCAGTGGCCCAGAGGGGTGACTCTGCTAGTGTAGGGGTCTTGCCTACACTGGGCAAAACCAGGGGGGAAATGGCCTGGCTCAGGGAGCCAAGGACCCATGCAACTCGAATCCCAAGCCCGGCACTGAGTAAAGTCCTTCCCCAACGCAGCCATCAGCACCGTGGGGACAGGACGCCCACGGCTGTTGGTGGTGAGGATGAGCCCCTCCTGAGAAGTCCCCAGCACCATTCCCAGACCCCAGCAGCCAACGCAGAGAGAAGGCGTAGCAGACAAGGTGCCCCACTGGGGCAAATCCAGTGCTGAGTCCCACCAGTGGGGGAACTCTGGGTGCTTTGAGGCCCCCAGAGGCTCATTTGCAAAACAGAACCCCATAGGTGTGTGGCCAGGGTGAGATGAGATGAGGTGTCACCCCGCAAGCACAACCTGTTTCCTCAGCACTGACAACAGCCAACAATCAGCGAGCATTTTCCAGGTGCTGAACCACCTTCCGAGCGTAAAAGCCCAAGACATGCGGTTTCACTCAGTTCTCACTGCAGCCCCCTGAAGCTGGGCGTTTGTATTGTTTCCACTCAGAAGCAAGGACAGTCTCAGAGAGGTTAAGTAACTGGCTCAAGGGTGCACAGCCAGCAAGTGGCAGAGCCAGGCTTTGAGCCCAGGTAAGCTGAGAAGCCCCTGGGGCGGGAGGAGCCATCTGTAATGAGCTGGGTCCTGGAAACCCCACCATGTAGCACTGGAGAAGCCTTATACATCGGAATCATTTAGACAAAGTGTTTAGAAGGCAGGGTCTCGGGCCCCACCTACAGGAATGCTGCCGAGTTCCTGGGTCTCTAACAACTCCCCAGGATGATGCCTGCACAGATGGCCCCCTGGGAGGACCGCGGCAGGTGTCTTGCCAAGGTCGGTGAGGGCCATGGGGCTCTAGGGGACCACTGGCATTCAGGCAGAAGAGAAAGGAGCCCGTGGTGGGACCCACCTTCACCTCTCGCCTCCAGGTTTGCCAAGTATTACAAGATGGAGAACGGCAGTGAGTACCGCACCCTGCTCAAGGCGTTCGGCATCCGCTTCGACGTGCTGGTGTACGGGAATGTGAGTCCCCAGGCCGGGCAGCTGGGTGGACCGGGGAGGTGGCCCAGACCGGTTCCTGGGCCCTGAAAAGGCTCCCCTGGGGGAGGGGCAGGGTTCTGCCACTGACCAGCTTTGAAACCCTGGGTTGATCCCATCTCCCGCCTCCACCTGTACTATGATGGGGTGGAATCTGCTCATCAACCAAGGACCCTTGTGGCTCCACAGTCCCTCTGGCTTAGCCTAGGCCTTACCCTTACCCCGCTGAGCCCTCCGCCCACTCGCTTCGGTCTTTGTGCATCCAGGCAGGCAAGTTCAACATCATCCCCACCATCATCAGCTCCGTGGCAGCCTTTACATCCGTGGGAGTGGTGAGTTCAGCCCCTACAGGGAGCCCAGGGTGGCATGGTTGGGTGGGCAGGCGTAAGGCCTGCTTCTGCCTGAACATAAAGTCCCCCTCCCCACCACCTAAGCTGAGCCCACCCAGGGCTTGAGTCTCAAGAGCTCATTTCCTCCTGAAGTTACCTGCCTATAGTCTCACCGTGAAGGTGAGAAAAGAAACTCAGGGGTTTCCACAAACCCGAGACTCCTTAACGAGGAATGCAACCCACCTGGGCAAGGTGGGGACTCCTCCCCCTCTGCCCCTCCACATCTCCACCCTCTGTCTGCACAGCTGTGGTCTGGAGCTGGGAAGGGGGCCGTAAAGACGTCCTACAAAGCCCCTGGGATCTTTTCTAAGAGCAAACCTCAGTCAGCCCTCGCTGAGGGACTCGAAGCCTATCTCTGGTCTGTTGTCTGCCAAGGGCAGTCCCGTCCAGGGAGGGCCCGGGCAGCTCAGGGGCCTCCCGAGCCCACCTCTTCCAGCCACCCTGCTCCTGTCCAGGCCAGAGAGCTCCTCTGAGCCTGCGCGCCTCCCCTCTCCAGGGAACTGTTCTCTGCGACATCATCCTGCTCAACTTCCTCAAGGGGGCCGACCAGTACAAAGCCAAGAAGTTCGAGGAAGTGAGTTGGAGGCGGGGGAGCATGAAAGGCAGAGGGGCACAGGGCATGGAGGGGCGCTGGACCTCGGGACTCTCGGGGGACTCTTGGGGGCTCTCAGGGGAGTTCACTGGGCCTCAGCATACAAACAACCTCAGACGAGAGAGGTTTGGCTAAGAGTGGACCCTGCAGAAAATCTCGGGGTCATCACCGCCAGCATCCTCACCTGAACTTCATCCCCCCTCCTTTTCTGGGGAACGCAAACCCTGCATGGCACAGCTCCAGTGTCTGATTGCCCTTGGAGGCATGGAAAGAGTCGTTGGAATTACACAGACTTGCCCTAGCTCCCCTAATGGGCCTTACTCCCGCGCCTGTCAAAGCCTGCCCGTAGCAGAGCATGACAATGCCAGTCCTTCTACCTGTAGGTGAACGAGACAACGCTGAAGGTCACTGCCTCGGCCAACACCATGGACCCCAGTGACCAGACCACGGAGGAGAAGCAGTCTACAGATTCCGGAGCCTTCTCCATTGGCCACTAGGGCCTTTGCCCAGAGCCCAGTACTCACCCATGGGCTGCAGATCTCCGACAGGGGAGCCCTTCCTGGGCAAGGTGGATGGGGGGAGGGGGGCTGTCATTTCTGTTGCCCATTCCATGAGGCCATTGCCAGGACCCAGGCCATGGGCCTCCCATTGCTCCAGCAGACAGGTACTGCTCCCCACTAAGACCACACCCTCACCCCCGCTCCCCGCCTGCCTCTACCTGACCCAGAGCAGCAGCACCTGAGTCATCCCCTTTCCAACAAGTAGAGATCATAATAGTAGGGACAAGTGGCCACAAGGGCTACGTGCTACCGGGCACTTTCACATGCACTATCTCATTTAATCCTTAGAATAATCCCACAAGCTACATACTCGTTTCCCTGTTTTGAAGGCTCAGAGAGACTGAGTCATTTTCCCCAGGCCACACAGCCAGAGAGCAGGATTCTGAACCCCAGGTCTGACTCCATCGCCCACACCCACGAGAGAATGAGCCCCCACCCTGGGAGAGGCGTGTGTCCCTGTGGCTCAGCTGCCCCCTGACCAGGTCCATAGAGTAAGTCCCCATTTTCCTAGGAACTCAGGTCACAGGTTAGGGGGCCTGTGGGGTTCTCATCTATGACTTGGGGAGGCGTGTTCCAAACCCAGAAGGAAACAAGAGGTGAAACTGAGTGAGTTTTTCCCTACCTCACCCCACAGCTCTGAACCCAAACCAGGGAAGGGGCCATTCCTGTCCTCCTTCTGGGACCACACACAGACCTGGACCCCCTCGCTCCAGGAGCCAGCTCAGGACACCTCCGGGGTGGAAGGGGTTCCCCTGACTTAGGGTCCCGTCTTGGCTGGCTATCCTCACCTAAAACAGTGGTGAAAAGGCACCAGGAGGCCCAGTGCCCTGCAAGCTGGTCAGCCAGGCCTGGTCCTCTCTGGGCACTAAGAAACTGGCCAGGCTGGAGCCCAAAGGGGCTTCCGAAACCATCCTGTCCAGTGCTCCTGCTGCTGATGAACAGACTGTAGCCAGACAGGGCAAATGACTTGGCCACCGCCAGGGTGGGTGAAATTGCACCAGGGCAGAGCTCAGGACACACCCAGGTTCTGTGAAACCTTAAGCATATTCAGTGTGTGTGTATGAGGCGGGGATGGGGGGGGATAGCTTTCCAAAAGCAGTACAAAGCGAGGTGTTAGAAGGACACCCGCAAGTGAGTGCCCTGAGTGTTTCATTAGCCTCACAGTGAACCGGCCTCTTGAAGATCTGGCGTGTGGGCCCCACCTCGAGGTCTTAGCAGGAATGAGCTTGCCCGTAGATGGAGGGCTGGCCCCTCGGTGGGAGATGCTGGGGGCTCAGATACGGGCCCCACCCCAATGACCCCCCATCCTGGGGGAGATGGGGTAAGACCCCCAGTCGAGGCCCCCTGCCCCTTCCTTCACCCACAGCCCCATCCTCAGGACAGTGGGATAGTGCCCCCCTCCGACCAGGGCCAGCCCCAGGAACTGAGCGGTGCTTGGAGGTCTGATCAGACTTCATTTCTCCAGCAGACAGAGGTATCAGTGAAGGCAGCGCCACGTTCTCCACCCGGAGTTCCAGCTCTCAGGAGGCTGGACTGAGGCCGGCTCCCAGGGATGCTCTCTGAGGGGGATACGGAGATGGCAGTGTCCTGGGAGGGACCCCAGGGCCTCCCCAGCCCCTAGACTGGGGTGGTCCTCCTGCCAGGCCGTCCTGAGCCTGCCAGCGCGTGTGTGTGAGCCTGGTGCCATCCTCCGCATGTCTGAACCCAGTTACTCTCCTGCGTACCAGACGCAAGGTTACTCTCAGTAGTAATAACAGCAGCTCTCGTGTCTCTGTCGTGTCGTGGTTAACTTACTCCGGGCACCAACACAATCGCAGGGACCCTCACACCCACCGTGGGGAGAGGTTGGGTGATTGGTTATCAAGCCGGCTTGAAGGAAAATGAAATGCACAGGGCCAGGGACATTGGAACTGGCACCCATGGTCATTCCTTGCCCTACTCAGCATAAAAGCTAACATGCCTCAGTTGCTCATCATTGACAAACAGTGGGTAAAATGCGAGACAGATGAAGAAGCAGGGGCTTACTCCAATTTTAAAAAGCTGAAATGGGAGAACCGGGGCTCGGATCACCTGGAACTTTGTGACTCCAGAGTCTGGGATCTTGGCTTCTGTGCTGTACGTGTCTGGGAAAAGCCAGAAAAGTTGTTGGCACCCTCTCTTCTCTATGTGGTAGTCAGGCTGAACCAGGCTTTGCTGCAATAACATTCCCTTGTTTGGATTTGGCGGCCAGGTGCAGAGCACACCTTGGCTGCTAGGAATCCCGGGAAATGTAGTCTTTGTGGGTCTCCAGGGAGAGAAGATGGCAAACACAGCGCTGTCTCTGCTTCATTATCTCTCTTTTTAAAAATAACTTCTCTTCTCCCCCGCCCAGCCCACCTCCGCCAAACCCACTGACAATTCCACACATCCTTCCCCTCTGTGTTCCTTCTCACAAGACCTTGTTCTCAGCAAGGTGCCAATCAGCCTCCCAGGGCTTTTAATAGATAACGTTCTGGGTAATTTCTTCTCTCTGGAGTACGTGCTTTTTAATCAAGGCTTAGTCAAGATGGGAAGGCCTTAAAAAGCCAGAGGAGTGAATATATAAGGGTTGAAGTTAAGGCCCAGTAACTGATAGTGCTGGAGATTTGAGAGAGTCAACTACTCCGTTCTGCCCCACGAAGTCTTTAGTCTGGAGGGGTCTTAGCCCCCTTCCCTTCTCCTCCCTACATGCACCCCTGGTTTTGGCTGATATTGGGCAACTGGGCTGGGCTAGAGTTAAGCAGAGGTTTATAAAAAGGGGCATAGCATTCAGCTGAAATCCCACTCCCGAATGACCCACGCAGTTTCCCCTACTGCCTCTCCTTCCCAGCCCCTGCAGCCAGAGCCCACTGTTCTTTTTAAAAAGCACAGCATCAGGAATTGTCATATCACAGGTGCGGCACAGGGACCTGGGTGGGGCCCTACTCCCAGGGGAGCCTCCTGGGGGAGCCACAGGCACCTCTGCTGAGGACAGGCCCATTGTCTGGAGACAGTTCCTGGGGCCCAGCACTGGTAAAGTTTGTGGCAATGCCAGGGCCCATTCTCCTGTTGCCAGAGGCTTGTCCAAGGGACCCATCCCTCCTGCCTCTCCACAGCTGCTTTCCCCAGGGCTCTCTGATCTTATCCTCCCTCAACTCCAGCACTCTGGGGAACAGCACATCTGGGGAAACTCTTCTTTCTGTTCCTAAACGCACATCCACCAGCCGTCTGTCTAAATAGACACGTATACACACACACACACACACACACACACACAGTCTCCACACACAGAAACGCACCATGTGAAGAAACACCGTGACACATGCACACCCACACATCAACTGGTCAAAGAGAAGGAGCTTACACATATGTGCCTGCACATGATCCAAGCATGCAAGGTTGTAAAACTACACAAGCACACAGACACACCCAGAAAAATACAGAGAGCTCTAAATGTAACCCAGATAACAGACCACTGCACAGGGCCTCATACAGAACTTTTACCCACATGGATGCCCATGTATACAGGTGAGTACATGCAAAGACTGACTTGTGTGCATATGCACACACAAATTCTTGCACACTCTCCCTGGGTCCCTTGCAGAAATACATCCCGAGGAAGTCTCTTAACCCCCAATCTCAGGGTTGGGTGCCCTGCTTCATCCACCAAATCCTTCCTGCAACCCAACATCCCACACAGAACACAGCAAAGAATTCCAACCCCTCTCAGCCAGGAAGTGGGAGCCATGCTGACACCCCAACCCCTGCTCGCCTTTGGCCCTCAATCCTCCTGGAGGGAGGCAGCTCCCCCCAAACTGTGCCCCCCCACACACACAGGCAGGAGGAGAGCGAGGGAGGGGGGCTGCGCCCCTCCTGGGAGTGGGATGGTGGACATCCCAGAAGGAGCCGAGAGCTGTGCACTCACACAGAGGTGGCTCAGAGAATGGGAAACGGAGGCCATTATCAGAAGCCCAAGAAAAGAAGTCCACTTTCTCCCCCACTTGTCCCTGGGTCCCCCCAGTGGGATCTCAACATTCCACGCCGACTCTTTCATCAGCGCCCTCGCTGCCATTTTGGAAAGCAGTTTAACCATGCACCCCACGCTGAACCCCAAGTGCTGCTCGCGGGTGGCAGGGATGGGGCAGCCTCAGAGCCGCGCCGGGACAGGCCACGGCCGGGCGCCCGCCAGGCCGCGCTCCGCCTCCAGGTGGCGCCCGTCGGTCCCCGTCCAGCAAAAGTGGACGCTTCCAGGATTCCTCCCACCGGCTCCGCCGCAACACACACACCCGGGGAAGTCCCCCAAAATGGGCACTGAAGAAACGAGAGGCGGGAAGTGCTGTGAGCAGTCTGCGTTTATTACCGGCAGAGGGCGGGACAGGAAGCGGGCACTGGGAAGGGGGAGGCTCCGAGGTGGTCCCCGCGCCCGCTGCCTAGTAGGAGCAGATGAAGGGCCGCCTCCTGTTGCACTGAATGCGTCGCCAGCGGCCATCTGGCAGTGGAAAATGCAGTGACGTCAGCTGCGTGCCTGGGTCTGGCCTTTGTGCCCCTTCCCCCCACCCCACCTCTCAGACACCTCACACGGCCCCTTGGACAGCCACTGTCATCCGCCAGCCTTGTCGGGCCCGGGCTGTGTGTTGAGTGGTTTACATGGACTACAGAGTTTGTGTCCCACCGTGACTCCAAAAGGTGGGAGCCGTCATCATCCCCATTTCACAGATGAGAAAATCAAGGCTTTGTGTAGATAAACACTTGCCCGGGTCTCACCCGGCAAATGGGGGGAGCTGGGATGTGAATGGTGCCCTATCGTGGCACCAAGCCAGCCGAGTGGTCTTAGCCACCATACCCGGCAGCCCTGCAGCTGCCGCAGCTGGAATCCTGTCTCACAGCCACCCCAGTCCCACCTTCTCCCCGATCCACACCTTACATTCACATCTGCTGTTATTTGTCTCGCCGGGCGCTCCATTCGTCGCCCTTGCATCACAGGCGGCAAAGGACCCTCCATCCAACACCCCGTGCCCTAGAGAGCACTCCACCCCTCCCCCCAGGCAGAGTCTGGGAGAGGTATGAGTTGTGGAGAGGGGAGGGACCGCCTTGAGATTTCTTCTCGCCCTGGGACCCATCCCCCTTACCTCCGGTACACAGGGACACACAGTTGCCATGCCCATTCCCAGGCTCCCCTGGGGCCCAGAAGGTAAAATTCCAGCAGCTCCCATCTGTCCAGTAGAATTTCTTGAAGAGGAGAAACTAGGGGTCAAATCAGAGGACCAAATGTCCAGGAAGACAGGCAGATCCAGGGGCCCCAGAGAACACCCACTGCTGGCTACTGTCACTGCCAGGGCCCTGGAGACCCGTCCCTGCAGAATTGCAGGCAACGGGAGAGCAGCCTTCTCTCCGGGCTGTCACACAAGTAGGCTCCTCCCGTATGTGTACTGTGCACACACACTGCTCCTCGGGAGCTTACTAACAGGCAGATTCCAGAGGTCTGCAAGGGGCTCAACGGCCCGTGGTTCTGACAAGCTACCGAGTGATACTGGCACACCTTGAGCACCCACCGTAACAGCACATCGGGGTGGGCGTTTGGCACAGGAGTTAAGACACTACTTGGGATGCCAAGATTTCATACCAAAGTGTCTGGGTCCAATATATGCACTTGTTAATTCACAATCCCAGAGCGCCCTTGAGAGAAAGTCCTCATTTAAAAAGAATTGGAAGGCCGGCGCCGCGGCTCACTAGGCTAATCCTCCGCCTAGCGGCGCTGGCACACCGGGTTCTAGTCCTGGTCGGGGCGCCGGATTCTGTCCTGGTTGCCCCTCTTCCAGGCCAGCTCTCTGCTGTGGCCAGGGAGTGCAGTGGAGGATGGCCCAGGTGCTTGGGCCCTGCACCCCATGGGAGACCAGGAAAAAGCACCTGGCTCCTGGCTCTTGCCATCGGATCAGCGCGGTGCGCCAGCCGCAGCGCGCCGGCCGCCGTGGCCATTGGAGGGTGAACCAACGGCAAAGGAAGACCTTTCTCTCTGTCTCTCTCTCTCACTGTCCACTCTGCCTGTCAAAAAAAAAAAAAAGAATTGGAGAAATTGGGGCTGCAGGGAAGCCCTCCCACTAGGAAGTGACTGAGCTGAGCCTGGTGCCTGGTGCCTGACTTCTGACTCCAGCGATGTCCTGATCCATGTTTCAAGATATCTTGTTCCTGGGGGAAAGCTGAGGGGTAGGAAGGGGCCCTGATTTTAGCAACTGCTCATTGCCTAGGTGTACATTTTTCCATCATGCTGGTTCCCAACCTATAAGAATGTAGTCACTGAGAAGTGTGGAATCAGTTCTCCCAGGCCAGTACAAGCCAGCTCCAGCATGTCACTCCAAGAACTCCTCGGCAGCTGGATTGAGGTGTGGCCTTATCAGGTGCTGCCTTAGGACAATCAATCAGAAAGAATCCTTCAGGGCTGGAGCTGTGGTGCAGTGGGTTAAGCCACCGGACACAGCACTAACATCCAACATGCACACCACTTACAGTCCCCACTGTTCCACTTCCAATCCAACTCCTTATGGATGCACCTGGGAAAGCAGCAGAAGATGACCCAAGTTCTAGGGCCCCTGCCACCCATGTGGGAGGCCTGGATAGAGTTCCACCCTCCTGGATTCACCTGGGGTCAGCCCCAGCCATTGTGGCCATCTGGGGCATGAACCATCAGTGGATGAAAGATATTCTCTCTCTCTCTCTCTCTGTGTGTGTGTGTGTGTGTGTGTGTAACTGTTTCTCCCAAATCAATCAATCAATCTGTGAGAAAAGAAAAAACTCTTTGGACCTGGCAATTGGTTTCTGACTTACCCAGCATTTGCGGATGCCTCCAATCCAGACCTGGCCCCGGTTGACTGCACTGGCCAGAGAGAGAATACGCTTATTGGAGCTGTAGCTGTGAATGGAGACCAGGTTGCCCTTATAGCATTTCTTGCAGATTTTCTGCAGAGAGACAAGATAGGGTAGAGAATTCACTCTCCTTTCCCTCAAGTTCCTGTATTTCCACCAGGAAAGCCCCACATCCCTTTGCAGGTAGGCAGGGAGGGATGTACTTGCCTTGTTCAATCCTATCTTTTGCCTCTTAATCAGTTATCAGAACATTTTTGCAGAAAATGGTAATATTCTTAATAATTATAGCCACCATTTATTGAGCATTTACTCCCAATACTCTCCACATATTATCACATTTAACCTCACCACAGCTTTAAAGCTGTAGCAGTCTACAGTTGGCTTACTGTATCCTTCAATTGCTTATCCATGAATTCGACCAATGGTGCATCAGAATTATTCAAAAAAATTCATGTGTCATTTTTCTTGTCACTATTCCCTAGACAAAAAGCTACAACTATGTGCATAGCATCAGGTGTTATGGGTAGCCTGGACATGATTTAAAGTATATGGAAGTATATGCATGGATTACAGGCAGCCACTATACCATTTTATTTACAGGAATTGAGCATCCATGGATTTTGGTATCCATGAGAAGTCCTGGAGCCAGTCCTCCACTTATGCTGAGCAACAACTGTATTTCTTCATGTTATAAACAAAGAAACTGAAGCACTAGGAGTTGAAACAGCCTCCTAGGTAGCACAGCCAAAGGAAGGCAGAGGCAGGATTTAACACAGATGTATCCAATAGCAAAGGCTTGTATCTAAGTCAGTGGTTTTCAAAGAGCCATCCTCCAAAATTTCATACCATCGACGTGTCAATACCAGCTGGGAATTCGCTATAAAGAAAACCTGCAGGTGTTCTGATGTAAGACTTCCAGACAATCCTGAGACTAGGCTTTGAGAACCACTAATGTAAAGGAATAAGGCATGAAGGTTGCAGCCACTCTCTGCCCCTCCCCCAGGTACCCCACAGAAGCTTCCCACCACTCACCTCAGCTTTTTGAAAATTCTTTGGGCTCTTCACCAACCGGAAGTGGCAGGTCTTACACCCAGGGCCTCCCTGCATTTCAACTGTGTCCTCTTCCCTGGGGCACTGCAAGTCCTCATCTGAGACAGCTGTGTCTGACTCCACGGCATCTTGGTCATCCTCTCCCGTTGACTGAATCCCTTCCTCGGTCAGGGCCAACTCTTCCTCCTGCTCCCCTGAGCCATCCAGATCCTGGTCCCAGTCTGCTTCCATCTCTAGGCTTTCCAAACGTGGGGCGTCATTCTCTGGGGAGAGGCGGTAACAGGGCACTTGCTAACAGGGTAATAGGGCATTCCCTATTCCAGGACCGCGGACAGCTCCAACAGTCCCTCTCCAGCTTTGCTAGTAGAGATGCCATGTGGAGCCAAGACAGAGCAAGCAGAGATCACACACTGAAATTCATGAACACTTGACTTCTGGCTGACATCACAGCTGTGTACAGTGGGAAAAGAGCAAGCACATATAAGGAGCATAGAACAGTCTCCAGCCTTCCTCCTGACAGATGAGTGTCCTTTCCTTAGCAGGATCCCCAACATTCCCAGCTCCGAGTCCAGGAGAAATCTTACCAGGAGGAGCTGGATCAACTGAAGGTAAATCGAAGGGCATAGAAAAGAGAAAGGTAGATGAGAAGGAAGGAGAGGACTTACCCAGATGAAGAGCAGAAGCTGTCACCAGCAGGAGAAAGGGCATGAGCAAGGAGGCTTTCATCTCTGCTTAGTCCTTTGTGGGCGACACGGCCTCGCCTTCTTTCTTGGGTCTGTCCTTGTGGGTCCAGCACAACCTGTGGCAGGTGGTGTAAATGAGACATTTGTCTAAATGATTGATTGAAAGGCCAACGAGATGGCTTCTCCCTCCTACCCTGGGCTGGGGTGACTAGGAAAGGAATGGGGAAGACAGGTGATCCGGGAACAAAATCCTTTGTTCCTGAGTTGTCCTATCACTACTCCCTGGGAGCACACTCAGCCCAGACACCACCCCTGCAGGAACAGGGCTGCGCAAAGTCGGAGCTGGTTTCACTCGTGCTTCAGAAGGAGGAGGGGAAGGACAGTGGCCACATAAGGTCCTGCTTACCCCCAGATACTGGGCTCACCTCCCTGGGCAGCCAAGATAGCACTCACCGTCTGAGAATCTGAGGCCTCTGCTCTCAGTGCTTTTGGCTGCTGTGCCCCCAGGAGAAGCTCTTATATTAGGCATTTGGGGATGTGGGGAGGGGCCAGGATGGTTGCTTCAGGCTGGGGTGGGCAGCAATGGAACTGATAAGGTTTGCTCAGTCATGCCTTTTTGTCTGTGCTGGGCCTGCAGGGTCTGTGCCTCACATGTTAGCTCATACACTCTGGCTTGCTTGAAACAGCCCTAGATGTCATGCCAGTTATCCAGGCATAACTATTATCTATGCCTGCCAAAGTGGCCCTATAGCATTCAACAATACCCTTCAATGCAGGAGCGCCTCCTGCTGGTCTGTGCCATAGGAGAAGAACATTTGGGGATCACCAGTGATGTGCCAATTTGTCCAACCTCAGAGTGTGTCTTCAGGGCTGGCAAAGAGCTGGGATAAAAAACCTTATGCAGGGGCCGGCACCATGGCTCACTTGGTTAATCCTCCACCTGCGGCGTCAGCATCCCATATGGGTGCCGGGTTCTAGTTCTGATTGCTCCTCTTCCAGTCCAGCTTTCTTCTGTGTCCCGGGAAGGCAGTGGAGGATGGCCCAAATGCTTGGGCCCCTGCACCCGCATGGGAGACCAGGAGGAGGCACCTGGCTCCTGGCTTCAGATTGGCGCAGCGCTGGCCATAGCTGCCATTTGGGGGTGAACCAATGGAAGGAAGACCTTTCTCTCTCTCTATCTGCCTATCTAATAAAAAAAAAACTTATGCAGACACTCTGACAATCACCCTCACACTCTACCCTCACCTCCCATCTCTGGCCAGTCCTCTATCTCCCCCAGGGTCAGGCAAATGAGGCATTTCTCTCAAGTACAAATCTTAAAGAGGCACCAAAAAGACCCAGGATTGAAATAATCTTGGGAAATAATACTTTAGTGGGATCTTTTTAAAAAATATTTATTTATTTATTTGAAAGGCAGAAGTACAGAGATCTTCCATCTGCTGGTTCATTCTTCAAATGGTCACAATGGCCGGATTTGGGCCAGGCTGAAGCCAGGAGCTTCTTCTGGATCTTCCACATGGATGGCAGGGACCCAAGGACTTGAGCCACCCTCTGCTGCTTTCCCAGGCACATTAGCAGGGAGCTGTATTGGAAATGCAGCATCCAGGACATGAACCAGCACCCATATGGGATGTCAGCTCTGCAGGCAACGGCTTAATCTGCTATGCCACATGAGATCTTTCTTAAAAATAAGAATTAAGGCAAAATATCCATGACGAACAAAATATCAAAATTTTAACTGACTGAGTTCCAGCCAAATTCATTGCCATTCGAAGAGAGGCCAGCAAAGGTTGAGCTCTGACTCTGGATCTCTCCACCAGGACCACTTGGGTAGGGAGGGGGCGACTTAATTCTAGGTTGTCCTAATGGACAATGCATCTTTGCTGCCCACATTCCAGTCCAACTCTCCAGAGCAGCAGGGAAATGGCCCAGAGAGCCTGGGTTCCTCTCCCCTCCTCTGCTAGCCCAAGGGACCCACAAATAGATAAGTAACTAGGAGGTCACTTCTGGACCTGATTGCAGAGCAGTGGCCGTTACTAATCAGCCATTATCTGCCTGGCCCAAGGGACCAAACCCTCAGCTTATCTACCTGACTGTGGGAGGATTGGTTAATGCCAGGATCCAAAGCCCCAGTCTCTGGACTTCCAGCTTGAGACCTCCCTCATGAGGGAGGTGGTAGGGACAGACCTCCTTCCCCATTGTTCTCTCTGGAGCCCACGCCCCAGGTTCACCATTTCATTTAAGGTTTGGGATGAGCAATGGACTTGGCTGCTGACTTGAGCCAGCACCACTATCAGCTTTCATAACACACTGTTGCATTCTACAGATGAGGAAATAGCATCTCAGAGAGTTTGCAGGAGTTACCCAAGTCACACACAAGCCCGAGACCACCAGCCTGGACTTGCAGCTCCTTATCCATCCCACAGCTGCCTTCCCCCAACCCCTTCTTGTGGACCTACCTCCTCACCAGCTCCCACTTGTTTTGGTTGTATTTTCATTATTTTTATTTATTTGCTTATTTTTGCACACAAACCCTAGACCCAAACATTCCAGTGACCTCAGGGATCTCACCAATGACCGTGATAATTTCTGTCTGATTTTAAAAAGGAAATAACATCTTTAAAGGGCCACCATGGACCAGATACTCTGTGCTTTGCTAAGGTTTTCACATCCATCATCCTACTGACTTAATTCTTAAAAATTGTTCTACAAATCAGATATTGCCATCTCTAATAGACATATTCACTTCAAAAGCTCAGAGAGACTGAGTGATCCTCCAAGTTCACACAGACAGTGGCAGGTGACACACCGGATGCTCATCTGTGACTCCCAAGACTTTCCTTTTCCTTGGTGTACTCAGATGCAATAGTCCCAGATAATCTAAGCTAAGGTGCCAGTGTTTTCCATGGAACTCCAAGTTTCTGGCTTACTGTTTGTATTTACATTCACTAGGGGTCTCAGCTCTGCCTCTTGAACCAAGATCCAGCCCAGCCCCACATTTTGCAGAGGGTGGGTCTTGCCATCTTGAAATTTGGGAGGTTCAGAGACACTGGTAGTGGGGCAGAGAACCCATATGGGGAAGGGAAGGTAGCCAATGAGATGTGTCTTATAAGACCATGAGTATCCAAACGGTAGAGTTAGAAACATACCAGGGGATTCCAATTCAATCCCATCAAGGTGGCATGTACCAATGCCATCTTACTAGTCCAAGTGATCAGTTTCTGTTCACAATTGATCAGAATGATAGGACTAAGAGTCAAAGGGATCACATAAACAAGACTAGTGTCTGCAAATACTAACCGATAGAATAAAAAAGGGAGAGAACGATCCAACATGGGAAGTGGGATACACAGCAGACCCATAGATTGGCAGATGTCCTAAATAGCACTCTGGCCTCATAATCAGCCCTTAAGGCATGCGGATCCGGCTGAAAAGCCCATGAGAGTATTTCAGGCATGGAAAGCCAAGACACTCTGGGAAAAAAAAAATGACCTAAATGAAAGATCTCCGTGAGATCCCAGTGGAAAGAATAGGTCATCAAAGAAGGAGGTACCTTTCTCTGAAGGGAGGAGAGAACTTCCACTTTGACTACAACCTTGTCTAAATATGATCAGAGCTGGTGAACTCAAAAGGCTTCCATAGCCTTGGCAACTCATGACAAGAGTGTCAATTTGTTAAGTCAACAACAGGAGTCACTGTGCACTTACTCCTCATGTAGGATCTCTATCCTTAATGTGCTGTACATTGTGATTTAATGCTATAACTAGTACTCAAACAGTATTTTTCACTTTGTGTTTATATATGAGTGTAAACTGTTGAAATCTTTACTTAATATATGCTAAACTGATTTTCTGTATATAAAGAGAATTGAAAATGAATCTTGATGTGAATGGAAGGGGAGAGGGAGCGGGAAAGGGGAGGGTTGCGGGTGGGGGGGAAGTTATGGGGAGGGGGGAGCCATTGTAATCCATAAGCTGTACTTTGGAAATTTATATTCGTTAAATAAAAGTTAAAAAAAAATGAGACCATGAGTATCTGGAATTTAATCCCACTGGGAAGCCCTGGGAAACAGCACCCAGTATATGCCTTCAATTTATTCCACTTGAGGGCCAAGGGACTGGAGTACTCATACATGCACTTCTGAGAGTGGCCTTGGATGTTCCCAAAGATAGGTTGGTCTCCTTAAATGTCAAACCAACCACCGTTCTGGAGTTTGGGGACAAAGGGAATGGAATGTGGCCACTGGGAGTCCACTTGAAATACTGAAAGGTCCAGAAGATGTGTTTGCGGTCCTGGCAACACCTGCTCTACACAGGTGCCCAGCGATTGGGTGTCCCATGGAGAGAACCACAAGAACACATTCCTCTCTGTCCACAGAAGGCTCCAGACTGCCCCTCTTCCTCCATGATCTCTGACCACTTCTGTGAAAGTGGAGAATGGGGAGGCGTTATCAGGAACTTCAAAGGTGGAGGGCAAAAGAGAGTAGATCAATAATCAGCAGAGAAAAGAAGTCTGTTTCAGTGAAGCGATTTTATTGCAGGGAGATGGGGGGAGGGGCATCAGGCAGGGGAAGGAAGGCAGGTGCCCAGAAGTGGATGGCTTTGAACTCCTGGCTGGGGTCTGTTCAGTAGGAACAGACGAAGGGGAGCCTAGTTGCACAGTGAGATCGATGCCAATGGCCTCCTGTGAAGGCAGAACAGAAGGGGATCTTCAGCTTCTTGTCCATCCCCCACCTGACCCACAGCACCACCACCAGCAGCCCCACACCTCAGTGGAGGTGAAGGCTAAAGACCCAAAAACCCTCTTCCTAGCCCCTCCTCTGAAGAGCACCTCATAGGCCTTCCCATAGTTCACCCCAGACCCACCTCACCTCGGGTACCCAGGCTTATGCAGGTGCCACTACAGCCCCAGGGCTCCCTATGACCCCAGTATGCAAAGTTCCAGGAGCTGCCATCAATCCAGTGAAAGTGTTGGCAGTTGCTCTAGGGAGGATGGGGAGAGGAGACACAAGTTGGAGACAAGGCAGACAGGCAGAGCAGGTGCTGTCCCTGACCACTGCTCCTGTTGCCCACCAGCCTGTGGCTTTGGTCTTTGGATCATTATGGAAACTTCTTGACCCCCTAAACTCCGGGTGCATGATGATTATCAGCACCACGTTCTTTGCATCCCAGTGACACAATTGTCCCTCTGGTGCTACCAAGAGGTAGGGCAGGTGCTGCCAACCTCACCCTAGAGATAAGCAAACAGGTTGATAGTCTTGCCCTAATCATACAGTGAGTCAAAGACTGAGAGAAAATTGGACCTAAACTTCCTGTCCGATGCCTGGGCCGCCCCCTGCCTCTCTCCTGGGTGTCTCTCAATTGCAATTCTTCAGGGGACTGTAGAGAAGCACAGATATGCAGCCAGTAACACACTGACTAGGGTCAGGAGATGCTCTCCCATTAGAGCTGGAACCCCTCTTACCGGGCCCGTGACTGTGGCCCCGATCCAGACTTGAATATTGCTGAGTATATGAACGGCACTTCGAATTAGGTAATTGAAGTTGAAGCTGTGGATGGAGACCAGGTTGCCCCGGTAGCACTTCTGGCACACAGCCTGCAGGGCAGGATAGAAGAGGAAGATTGGCACATGCCTCCCTCAGAGACTCACATCTTGAGTCCCTGAGTCTTGAAAATCCACGCCCTCCTTCCTCCACTACAGCCCTCTAAAGGCTGCAGGCCTTTGTTCCACGTAGCCCTCCACTCTCACCCCAGCACCTCTGCGAGCCTCAGCCCCTGCTGACACCCCCCTCTGAGGGTCTTCTGCCCTGGGCCACTCACCTCAGCTGCATTGAAGGTCTGGGCATGCCTCACCAGGATGTAGCGCTTGCAAGTCTTGCATCCAGGGCTGATCGCCAGTTTTACTGTGTCATCTTCCTTAGGACATTGTAAGGCCGTGTCCACCACATCCAAGTCTGAGCCTGACTCAGCAGCTCCCTCTTCGTCAAGGGCACCTTCGCATCGGAAGCACCCCTCTTCCTGCACCTCCTCCTGCAGCTGCGTCAGCGCTCCAGGGGGCGTCTCCTCAGCCCCCCGTCCTGCCACCTTCCTGTCCTGAGGCAGGGTCTCATCTCCCAAAGGGCTCTCAAAGTTGGACGTTTTAGTCCCTGGCAGGGAGAAAGGGCAAGTGTCCTGGCTTTGCATCTTTCCGTTGCTCCCCAGAACCATGGACAGCTCCTTGTTTGCCCTGGGCACCAGTGTGCTCAACCTTCCTGGAAGAGGAACCTGGAACAGGTCTCCATGAGGAGAACCCAGCCTCCCCCAGGAAGTCAGAACATAGGCTTAGAGTCAGGCCGCTGTGAGCCTGGGTGTTGACTCCATCATTTTCTGGTTTGACTTCTTTGTGAAATGAGAATAGGAGACAACCTACCTTATATAGAAGATGCTCAGTGAAGGAAGCTATTAATATTATGAGCAATATTAGCATTATGTGGGAAGGACAAAAAACAGCAGAACCAAGAATGCAGACATAACAGATGCCCTCAGGGGGTTCCTTCGATTCCTGGTGCCTGCTCCTTCAAGTGTACAGAAAATCTTGTGTAGGGGATGATCAGAGAAGGGCATGGGGATGTGACTCTGACCCCGTCTACTGCAAAAAGGAGTGAAGAGAGAGGCTGAAGTCAAAGAAGACTTACTGAGGTGGAGAGCAGAAACTGCTCCAAACAGAAGAGCCAGAAGTAGGGGGAGTTTCATGTTGCTGCGTCCTGCAATGGAGAACACATGTTATCACTGAGATGCATGCATATGTGTGCACGCACACACACACACACACAAACACACATCACAGCCACCCCACTGGGGACATTGGGAGTGAGGAGGAGGAAAAAAGGCACGAACAGAAGTCAGGATAGGTCACAAAAGGGAACGCGGAGCCCGGCCCCTGCCGCTGCAGGGTGTAGCAGAGCGTCCTGCAGGCCCGGAGCTGCAGAAGAGGATGCTACGTTGATTCATTGGCACTTAGTGGTCCCACAGAGTTTGTGGAGAAAGCACTCACCAGCTCAGAGGGCTTTCTTCAGGGCTTTAGAAGTTCCCGAAGCTCAGCCCCTCCAGCTCACAATGATCTCTTATATAGGGGCCTTGGAGGAAGTTCCCACGAGGAAGAAGGGGTTAGCCTCAGCCCAAGGGCAGTAGGAAGGCTGATAACACCCATTTCATCACTTTCCTGGGTTGCCCACTCTGCTGCTGCAGCCTCTCCCAGCGCCCCCCTTAGGAAGCTGGGGGCCTGCTCAGGACTGAGGGGTCTGCTTACAGGCTGCACCCAGGAGTCTCCAAAAGAGCACTTCCAGAATACACATCTGTCCTGCTGCACCTGCGGGGATCGCAGGTGCCACCGACATTTTGCAAGCATATCTGTCCATGCCTACTGGGGTAAAAACGTGTGCTTGATCATTTGACCAACTTCACACTTTTTTTTTTAATTTTTTTTGACAGGCAGAGTGGATAATGAGAGAGAGAGACAGAGAGAAAGGTCTTCCTTTTGCCGTTGGTTCACCCTCCAATGGCCGCCACGGCTGGCGTGCTGCGGCCGGCGCACCGTGCTGATGCGAAGGCAGGAGCCAGGTGCTTCTCCTGGTCTCCCATGGGGTGCAGGGCCCAAGCACCTGGGTCATCCTCCACTGCACTTCCCTGGCCACAGCAGAGAGCTGGTCTGGAAGAGGGGCAACCAGGACAGAATCCGGCGCCCCGGCCAGGACTAGAACCCGGTGTGCCGGTGCCGCAAGGCAGAGGATTAGCCTGGTGAGCCGCAGTGCCGGCCTAAAGATTTATTTGAAAGTCAGAGTTACATGAAGAGAGAAGGAGAGGCAGAAAGAGAGGTCTTCCATCCACTAGTTCACTCCCCAGTTGGCTGCAATGGTTAGAGCTGCGTTGATCCAAAGCCAGGAGTCAAGAGCTTCTTCCAGGTTTCCCACGTGGGTGCAGGGGCCCAAGGACTTGGGCCATCTTCCACTGCTTTCCTAGGCCATAGCAGAGAGCTGGATCGGAAGTTGAGCAACTAGGACTTGAACAGGTGCCCATATGGGAGCCCGGCGCGGCAGGCAGCGGATATACCCGCTAAGCCATAGCGCCAGCCACTATTGAGTATTTTTTTTTTAATGAGTGAGTAAATGAATGATTCAGAGCACTGAGGCTGGCCCAGGATTGCCTCCCTGGTGAGAGAGGCTCAGAAAGTACCTGTAGAATCCCAACGAATACACTTAACTCTGAAACTCAGCTGGACTTTCTCCAGGGGGTAAAGTCAATCAGCTCAACTGAGCAATTAATTCAACACATAATAGAAAAGCTCCTGCCATGGCCTGGGCAGGGTTCTAGGCAGTGAAGGTCCCTGTTGTCCTAACATTCACTTCTTGCTGGGGGACACAGAAAACAAACAAGAAACCAAGAGATAAACACAACCATATCATTTTGGCCACTGTTATGATGGAAATCAGTGGAATGACATGGAACAACGTGACCAGATAAGAGAGTGGGGAGGGTGGGCTTCCGTCAAAAGAGTTCCCAGAGGAGGCATCTCAGGAAGGTGACATTAATCTGAGACCTGACAGATGGGAAGAAGTCAATGTAAAGGCTTTAGCTTGGCCAGTGGAGCTGCAGGGATCACTCCTTCTGGTCAGGTTGCATCAGTAAGCCAGAACCCAACCCTGGAGAGCCTTGCAGGCACTGGCGATGAGTTTGGATTAATTGCTAGTGTATGGGAAGACTTTGAGGGTGAGCCTGGGGATAATAGGCTTTGAGATGTTACCAGACATGCTGGTGTGGTCCAGTGAGGAAGAAGTAGATGGACTGGGGCTGTGGGGAGGTGGGAGGTGGGGTGGGGTGGGGGCACTGCTGCAAAGACGGGTTCCTTTGAAGCTTGCTGAGTGTTCTGTCTCTGGGAGAGTAGAGGCCCGCAGGGGAGGGAAGTTAACCTGTAGCAGGGAGTGGGAAGAATGCTGACTTGGGAATCAGGATACCTAGGTCCACATCTGAGACACAGAGACCACCCTGGATCATCTCTAAGGACCCTTCCAGCTCCAGCTTGTCAGTCCCCTTGGCTTCTGTCAGTCACTGGGACGTGCAAATAGAGAAGTGTCAGAGGAGCTGTTGTCAAGGCTGATTTCACAGAGCAACGGTCAGGTCCCTATCTCCTGAGCTGCTCACCCTGGGATGGTGTTAGCCCTTTCACCACCTCTTATCTGCCCTGTGGGGATGTTGACCAAGCCTGGCTATCAGGCAGTTGATCAGCTCTGGAGATCAAGTCCCTGGAGCTTCTCTGAGGGCCAGAGGAATCCTCCTGAGCAGAACTGGAACTACCAGGGGCTTCTTGGCTTCCTGCAGCCTGAGGCGAGCAGTGCTGAGACCTTGAGCTGAACGGAGGCTCCGCTCTCTTCACCTTCCCTGCTGCGCTGTCCCCGGGCTCTTTGCCAGCCAGTCCTCAAGCCCACTCCTTTGGAATACTTCTCTGGACTGATCGCCCCACCAGCAGCACCAACCATGAGTTTATTCCTGGAAGGAGAAGGGTCTTGAGCACTGCAGGCGTCATCATTCCAGCTAACACATCACCACCCACATGGAGACTTCAAACAACATTCAGCCATCAACTCATAGCTCTATAAGAAGTGTGGGTACCCCAAGGCTGGGTTTTGTGCTCTGGGTCCCCCAAGGCCAAAACTAGGATGTTGGGTGGGCTGTGGGATCTCCTGGACTTCAGGGTCCTCCTCCAAGCTTGTGTGGTTTGGGTAGAATCGGTTCCTTGAGGTTGTCAGATTGAAGTCCTTGTTTCCTTGTTGGCTGTCAGAAGTGGGGAACATTCAGAACCTCGAGGCTGCCCCTCTTCCTTGCCACATGTCTCCTCCATTCTCAAAGCCAGCAACAAAGAATCTCCTTTGGGTTGATTTCTCCCCATGCCTGGAATCTCTGATCTCAGGAACTGTCCAGGTCCTTTCAAAGGGCTCATCTTGTTACCACTGATAGTCTTCATTCCTGACAAAGCCACCAGAATGAAATCAATCATATTCATAGCCCTAGGGATTGTACATTTTATGTGCTGCATGGCTGGAGATCTTGGAGGGCATCTTAGAATTCTATCACAAGAGTCAAACAGGACTCTGTTGGTGACAAAGGATGGCAGGGTCATTCCTGCCTCTTTGGAGACAGTAAAGCCAGAGGATTTTTTTTTTTTGGCCTTTGGGGAGGTTATGAAAGAATGGAAAGTTTTGACCCTCACCTAGAAGCATCGCATCACACACAGTCTATGATTGCAAGGTTCATGTCTCCTTGAAGTCTGTTCGTGTTTCCAGATTGAGAAACCCTGGTGCAGGTTATAGGGGAGGGATGCCTGCGGAGACGAGGGCTGGGCTTATCTGAAGCCAGGAGGAGTCACAAGCCTCCTCCAGGTCTTTCCATGTGGGTGCAGGGGCCCAAGGACTTTGGCCATCTTCTACTGCCTTCCAGGCCATAGCAGAGAGCTGGATCGGAAGTGGAGCAGCCGGGACTTGAACCAGTGCCCATATGAGATGCCAGTACTTCAGGTGACGGCTTTACCAACTATGCCTCAGAGCCAGCCCCAATTTCATGTGAAGAGTTAAAATTGTATATGTGCGGGTGTAAAAAGTTAAGCTTAAGCTTACAGGTTTAAACCTTCCTGGTGCAGCTGTGAAAATAAGACAGAGTAAAGTAGCACCTTGACAGTAGGGACTCCATTTTGGAGCACTTGAGACTGCATTCTGGGAAAGCAACCCCCCCCCCAATCGTGAGACTCTGGTCTGAAACTATGATCTCAAATAGTCGGACAATAGCAGTGCACTACATCACCCTTGGCAATGCACAAAAACCCCCTAGCATGATTGCTCAAGCTTAAAAGTAGAAAGGTTGCACCTGGGTTACCTGGGCTAATAATGAAGATGTGATTTGTCTATGTCTTAAGATCATAATTGCTGATTGTAAGATTTTAGCAACCGCTTAGCAACCGTGTATTCTCTCCCTCCTCCCGATTTTGCGGTTTTTGCCTTTATAAACCCTATGCTGTAGTTCCTCACTGCTCCTCTGTCCTTGTCAGAGGGCCCCAACATGTTGGATCAATAGATTTAACCCTTTGCTGGTTGCATGAGAGAAAAAGTCTCTTGGAGTCGTTCCTCGGGCGGTGGGCTTTTTCAGACCCTAACACATGCTTTGGAAACTAAACTTCAGGTGTAAAAGCATCTGTAAGAACAAAGCTTACAAAAGTGTGTGGCATTCGACTGTTTTAATATTTATTTTATTTATTTAAAAGGCAGAGAGAGAGAGAGAGAGAGAGAGAGAGAGATCTTCCATCTGCTGGTTCAACTCCTAAATGGCCAAATGGCGCAAGATAGGCCTGGCTGAAGGCAGAAGCCAGGAGTGTCTTCTGGGTCCCCCACGTAGGTGCAGGGGCCCAAGCACTTGAGCCATCTTCTGCTGCATTCCTAGGTGCATTAGCAGGGAGCTGGATCAAAAGTGGAGCAGCTAGGATCTAACCCTAACCACTTCCCATATGGGCTGCCAGCACTGCAGGCTGCAAATTTACCCACTACACCACAGTGCCAGCCCCAACAAATCTTTTTTTTAAAGATTTATTCATTTGTTTGTTAAACAGAGTTTCAGAGAGAGAGAGAGAGAGATAAGGAGAGACAGACAGACAGAGAGAGACTCCATCTGCCGGTTTACTCCCCAAATGACTGCATGGCTAGAGCTGGGCTGATCTGAAGCCAGGAGCCAGGAGCCAGGAGCTTCTTCCCATGTTGTGCAGGGGCCTAAGCACTTGGACAACCTTCTGCTGCTTACCCAGGCACATTAGCAGGGAGCTGGATCAGAAGTAGAGCAAATGGGACTTGATCCAGTGCACATATGGGATTTTGGCACCACAGCTGGTGGCTTTACCCTCTATGCCACAGCCCAGCCCCAAAGATTCAAATCTGTTTTTCTCTGGGACAAAACTCTTCCCCCTCCCACGTACCTGCTGAGTCTCAGGACACTGTGCTTTCTAGATGGAGGCAAAACAGAAGGAGTCAGGGCCCTTGCCTTCCATTTGCTAAGAG